GCCTGCTTAGACTCTTGGCACTCTTAGGTGAGCAGACTTAGTCAGCCTGTGTTGCCCTAACACATGTCTGGGGGGGGCCATTCTGGGTCATCAGGGTGACCTGACATCCAGAAGGGTGTCAACATGGTGTGGGCATCAAGGGCATTTGGCAGGCAAGCATCTTGAAATGAAATGTCATGGTGAGGCCCTTTTGCTCCAGCAGAGTTGTCTGGGATCAGAAAGGCAGATGACATCATGTTGGGATCAACAATGTTCCACAGGCAAACATTGGTGGTTGAAATGTTGTGGTGAGGCCCTTCCTGTGCAAGTTGCAGTTCTTCATCAGGGTCTTGGGCAAGATCAGCACACTCAGCTGAATGGATGTCAGTGAGGGAACAGCCCATGGTGCTATAGCACACACTGAGATCCCTAGTTCCCCTTGATCATTCCTTGCTGGGAGACAACAATGACATGTGGTCACAGTCCATCTCAGCTTGGGAGATACTCATACTAGTGTTTATCTGTACAAGGTCAGCTCATGAACCCCTTGAGAGGCTTGACTTACTTCTATCAGGTTTGCACTTGGTTTTGAGGTCATCATGTGGGTCAGAGTAATGGTGATGCTGAGGAGGCTGGGTGTCATGGGGCAGAATAGGGGTAACAGGCTCCGTGATAGCTGTGTGCAACATTGCACGTGAAGTCAGGGCTATCAAAGCTTGGCACCTGATGATAACCACATGCAACATCTAAGACCCCTCCTCCTTGACCTCTCTCTCCCCCAACCTTAATCTCCTCCATGCTTCACTTACTCCTGTTCTCCAGCTTGGAACACACTGGCAACATACATGGGACCTCACCACAACATTTCAACATGGTGCCTGCCAATATCCACCAATAAACAACAGCTGCTGACTGCCCAAATAGGGGGCTAGCCTTTCATCGGCAGTGCAGCCTCGCACCTTCTGCCCCTTTGTCTGCAGGTGAGTGATATCATAAAGAGCAGAAGCAAACTGACCTTCATATACCCCATACCTCCAGGCATCTTTCCTCCTCCCCCCCAACAACCCTAAGACCACATGAATGAAAAACGTCAAGCATAACATGAAGATGACAATGGTTAGCCTGGACAATGCTGGGGAAGGATTGGGAGAGATGCTGGTCAGTGCAAAGATGAAGGAGATGGTCCTCACGGACATGGTTGAGGGAGAAGGGTGGAAGGGCAAGGGTAAGGCCCCTCTTCAGTCAGAGATGCCTGTGACACTCAGGCATAAGCTGTTGCTCACTGTCCAGGCAGCCAGCAGCTTGAACAACAACACCAGCACCCACACCACCCTGGAAGACTCAGAACCCCCCTCCCTGACCTCAATCTATTCCCAAGACATCCCAGTGTGTCTTGGTCCCACCAAACACAAACAAGCTCTTGCTGAGGCTCCCCCTTGTCTCCCAGGCAATGAGGAGGGGTATGAGGATCACATCTCAGCATTGACATACAGCCTCCTCAATGTCACCAAGAATTGCGCACTCAAGGGTGATCTTCCAGGCATCCTCAAGATGATAGAGCTCATCCACCTGGACTTTGAACACAAGGTGAGTGACTTATTAACCTCACCATGACATTTCATTTGAAATGTTGTGGTGAAGCCTCCCTATCTCATGCTGACTCTTTGCAGGCCCTTGCCAGAACATCGTCCTCCACCTCACCTCCCATCATTGATGAAGAAAGGATCATTTGCCCACCTGATCCCAATCAAGGGCCTGTGCTCCTGTTAGGGCAACACAGGCTGACTAAGTCTGCTCACCTAAGAGTGCCAAGAGTCTAAGCAGGCAACAAGGAAGTGGAGTAGACCTGATGACTAAGACCTATCTACAGTATAGGTACCTGTGGATGATCCTAAGAGACCAAGTCTCAAGAGACAGTCCCAGGCAGAGTAGGCCTTATATTTATACCTCTGTGGTGGAACCTGCTAGAACATCTTGCTTACTCAGCCTAGTCAGGTGATCAGGTCATATGACCAAGATGAGGTCATAT